GACGTGGCGTGATTCTAGTCACGTGACCTCGATGTCGTAACAGTATCTTTTCTGATGTACTACATTCAGGACTGTATCAATATCCCTTCACTATCATGTTAAAACTGTCAATGTTGAGTATGTTTATTTTGTTTCAGAAAATAATCGAATTTTGGAGTCCGAGATATTAGCAACTATACAGTTTGCACGATTGAAAATACACAAGTCAAGGAAGCTGTAACCATCACCGAGCGCAAAGGTCAACATAGAAACTCTGACTACATATGCCTCCAGTGGCACAGCGGTATGTCTGCGGACTTACAACGCTATAAACAGAGTTTCGATAACGGTGGTGAGCAGAACACTGATAGTCCATTGTGTAGCTTTGTGCTTAAGTTCAAACACACACTGACTATATATATAAATTCAGGTTCAAATTTACTTTAACAGCATTGTAGTATATACATCTAAACAATAATAAAGTTTTTTAAAGATATAATATCAATCTACATAGAATTAAAAAAAATACTCATTTTGACCCCACTTGACTTTCGTGACCTAAAAAATAACCTTCGAGATCAAAATCGACTACGGCATGCATTCACATACCTTTCTCGTTTTATGTATAAATGAAATAGCATGAATGCCTGCTTTAAAAAAAAATGGCCCTCAGTGGCATAGCGGTATGTCTACGGACTTACAACGCTAGATACAGGTTTCGATACCCGTGGTAGGCAGAGCACAGATAGCCCATTGTGTAGCTTTGTGCTTAATTACAAACAAACAAAGAATAAAAACAATGCCGTCAATATTTTTCTATAAGACTTTGTTAATGTATGGCTAGTTTACTACTTTACTCAATCATTTTGTTTTCCCTAGCTATAGTTACAAGCAAAAAAATGAACTGGGAAGGCTCATGAAAATAATGTTCATTGAGGTACAGAGGTAGTGTGAGAGTTGCCTTTGATGCGTTGTTCGTGGTGGGATTCTTAGAAGTTAGAATCTTCAAGATCACGAGAATATTCTGAGACAAGGAGTAGTATTTTAGCAATGCTAGTAAATCTATGAAAAATAGTCTTTCGCCTTATAGGTCAACAAGTTAAAGTTTAAATTAATTATAAATGATATCACCGTTACTGATACTGTGATAGAGATCTGGAAGCGAAAACTAATTTATTTGTTAGTAATAGTATAAAAATCATAAACGTTAAAAACGAAACTGCTACTAGTACTAGTAGTGGCATTTCTATTAGACTAATACTAGCAATAGGCCTAAGTAGTGGTAACTAGTTGCGAAACGCGTTTGTGAATGTGAGTTGTGATTGTATTTCTATTTATGAACCGTTCCTTGTTTTATGAGGGTAATGTGTAGCTGTTTAAAACAGTTTGCACCTTTTTAACTGCCTGCGCAATTACCTAGCAGTGTAAGTACATTTTATTTGATTATTTCATTATCGTGTAAAGAAGTTGCAGTGTTTTTAAATTGAATTTTGAAGTTGATTTGTATTTATAACTAAGCGTAACTTCAACTGTGTAAGGCTACTTTGTTTGAACTTTGAAGATGAGGAACTGACAGTGACAGTAGTTCTAGGCTTAAGTTAAGACGTTAAAAAACTTAAATGCCCAAAGCTACAAATTCAGTACAGATTAATAATCGTTAAACAGAAACGAAACATTTGATTTTACTTTTAGCAGAGGTACTAGATCTTAACTGCTCAAAATTTAAACTTAGTTGTAATTTTACTAGCTGTAGTTTATAAGTTATGCTTAAGATATCATCAGCCATAAAAATAATAAGGTCATTAATTAACCTTCTTTGAAGAGGTTACTGTTTAAAAAAAAGGTTTAACAGTTTATGTTTATGAGGGTAAAGTCTAAAGGTGTGAATTTGGTATATCTGGATTTTCAGAAAACATTTGATTAGGTGCCACGTAAAAGGCTTCTTGAAAAATTATTGGTGTAGGGAGTAAGTTGGATTAAAAAATGACTGGTGGAATGAAATTGAAAACAGAGGGTTGTTAACTTATAATTGAATTTCATTGACACTGGATTAATGTCACATTTAGGTTATCTTACTGTTCAGTGTTGGGATCTTTATCCTTTTTTATTTGCATCAGTGACATAGATAGAGGAATGGTTAATGAATTGCTTAAATTTGATGACATTTAGGTCTTGGGTATTGCTTGACTTTGAGGATGCTACAGTTGCATTACAGAAGGTTATACTTATAGATCATTTGGTGAGTTGGGAGAACAACTGGCAAATAGTTTTTGATTATAATAAGAACAAGTGGTTTATAAGAATTACAGTTATAAGTATAATTTTGATGGAAATAACATTAACAGTGTTATGGAGTAAAAGGATCTTTTGTGTTTTGGTTGACCAGTCTCTTAAGCCAACCAAGCAGTATGCTGTTGCAGTGATAGGACAGATATGATTTTAGGTTGTATCCACAGCAATATTGAATATAACTAAAAAGTCTGTAGAGTTTTTCATTTGATTGTATAGATCAGACATTCCCAACCTGGGGTATATTTGCATTTCTCAGGGGGTACACAGGGGTGTGAGAGTATAACCATGGTATACACTTTACATGGTGTTTTAATCTACAGTCAGACAAAGAGAGCAAATTGGCTCACATAAATATACGCTCTTTAGACAAAAAGTTGTAGATCATGATGAAGGTTGTGATGTTATTGCAGTGCTACATTATAACTCATGT